TTCATGTAACGATTTTATTTTATTTTTGAAATTTTTTTAAAAGGTATTTCTATGTATAAGGAAAAAGTATGAATAATATTAATTTCTTGTTAGTGAAAAACAAGAAATTGAAGAAAGAATTGATTTTTTCTTTATCAATTAGGGGTATTTTAGAAAAAAAAATGTTATTTAAAATTTTGATCAAACAAGTATTTTGAAACATATATAAATAGAAAGAGAAACAATCTCTTTAAGAGAGAGAAATAGGAATGGTGAAGATTTTGACCAAAAAAAAATAATAATAATAAAATAAAACCAATTTGAATCTTGATTTTCATTTAAATATAGCATTGACAAAAGAAAGATGTAGTTGCTAAGTGAGAATTGAAGTAAGTAGAATTTGAGAGTTTTTTTTTTTTTTTTTTAAAGAAACTAACCCTTTCAAGATTTATCATATTTGTTTTAATATATATATATATTCCATTATTTTTTTATTTTTTAAATTTCAATTAGTTTTTTTTTTTACTTTTTGAATGATATTAAGATATTCATAAAATTCTAGAATGAAATTGAAATTTATGCATATGACAAAAATGTATTGAACGAGAAAATTAGAGCAAAAACAAAAGATGTAGAAATTGATTGGAACAAAAATAAAAAATCTAATTGAAATAAATCAAAGATTAAAACTGTGTAAATTCAAATGGGTTGTCATTTGAAACCAATTATTTTTTTAGTTTTAAAATCACTTGATCCTAAAGTGACCATTTGGTCACTCACTCCTTAATTAAAAATTCAATTGTAAAATATATATCGAGAGAAAAACCATGTAAGCTGAATTTTAAAATATCATCATTGATTGTGAAATAAAAACTGAAAATTAAAATTTTACTTTTAAAGATTTAATCCTTTCTACAGGAATAATATAAGGAATGTAACAAAAAAATTATCTAGAAAAAAAAAAATTCTGATTGCAACTCCTTATCCGACAGATTAGAAGGAAGGTGTGGTGCTATTTGATTTCTAAAAGGTATTTCAGAATACCTCATTTTATTTAAAACTTATAATCTTTCCCTTTTACCAGCCTTCGAACCCGTAACCATTAGCTTGAGCATTTAGTACCCAAGCCAACAAGGCACGAGGAAAACTAGTCCCCGTTTGTCCTCTTCAAGAATCTTAACTGTGACTTTCTTTTATCTTTTCAACGGTTCTTGAATAATAGCATATCTAACTTTACTAGGGATTGATGCTGATAATTTACGTGTGAGCTGAAAATTGTTTGTTACGGATTACTATCTCAAATGAAAATTAGTCCAAAACTCCAAATTCATGTCTGACTTTGCTAACATATTTTTGAACATTCCTCAAATATTTCTCCCATGTATTGAAAATCATTGTACTCCTGGTTTTGAAAAGACTAATTCCAAACAAACAATTTAACTGCTGAGGTATTATTATCCTATAAATCTCTTAGTCCATGGTGCTTTGTTTGTTAAAGGATTATTAAAAGCAAATTAAAAAAAATGAAGGTATTTTAGAATACCTCTCTTTTTATGTGATAATAATAATAATAATAACAACGATTAATGTAGTGATCAACCACCACCACCCTGGTACCAACACGCTAGCCTTCGAGCGCTTGACCTCATAGACCGTGCATTCACACACAGGCCGGCAAGCTGTAAGCGAGGCTGGTATCTGCTTCTACTTTAAAATAATTTAAATAAGGTGGCTTGAGGCTTCAGTGTATCATTTGAACATGGGGTTAACTCCAATTACGTAAAAAGAAATGTATAATTCCACAAAATTATTTTTTTCTGTCTACAAGCCAATGGCGGTCTAGTACTCTAGTTGCAAAACGTGGAAAAAAGGTATTTTTAGAATACCTCCTTTTGAGTTATGCTTTTTGATATGTATGGCAAAAAAAACTCTCCAGACACGTGTCCATTTAAAAAAGGTATTTTCACTCCCATTACAGGGACCACACAAAACTCTAGGTATGGATAGGCTTTTAATAATAGAGGACTGGTCATTTTTCTTAGCGAAACCCGACCTTGAGCGGCATGAAAGAATATTGACAAAATCAATCTTAAATAAAGAATCATTCTGCACGCAGAGAACATGGTTTACACGAAAAGAAATATTTTTCTAGAAAGATCACTATTACGAGGAAGAAAGACCATTACGTGGGGAGGAGAAAAGACAGACTTCTCATCTCCATACAAGACATAATCAACAATAGATAATAATTTAGACACAACAACAATAATAATTTAAAAGAGAAATAATAGTTGAAAGAAATCCGAATAGTGAAGTTTTTGACAAAAAGAATTTAAAAGAAAGAGTTAATTTAATTTGAATTGTGATTTTTATTTAGCTATAACATTGACAATATATATATATTACTAACTGAAGTTTTTATCATATTTTTTTTAGTAAAAAAATTTCTCCATTGATTTTCTACTTTCTATTTTTTTTAATTTCAATTAACTAATCAATTTTTTAAAAATTTAAATGATATTGAGATATTTTATAAAATTTAAGGATGAAATTAAAATTTATGCATCTGACTAAAAAGGATTGAGGACGAAAATTGGAACAAAAGCAAAGATGTGGAGACTGATCGAAAAAAATGAAAAATATAAAATCTAATTGAAAAGTTAAAAACATAGATATAAAAGAAATTAAAAAAGCACATAAATTCTAGGGAAGCAAATTAAAACTTATCTACGCATGAAACACAAACCAAAAGAAGCTACAAGGAAGACCGATGTCAATTTTTTTCTTTGTGACATATTTAAAGGTTTACGCCGGTGGAACAGGTAGAAAAGTTCAAGGAACTTATATCATGTTTGATATTTTGTGCTAATATTTTAAATATATAAAGGGTATTTTAAGATTTATTGTTAAAAACTTAATCAGGAGTGATCCACTTTGTTTAGCTTTTGGTACTGCTAAATAATTACATAGATTGTTTATTAAAATTAGAAGGAAGGTTTGGTGCTATATGAGTTCTAAAAGGTATTTTAAAATACCTTATTGTAATGATTAATTAATTCGTTTCTCTTTACCAGTCTTCGAACTCGTAACTGTCAAATTGAGCATTAGCACCCAAGCCAACAAGGCACGATGAAGACTGGTGCACTGCCGCTGTCTTCAATTTAATTTACCTAAACGTTATGTGTGACAATCTCCAATTATGTAACAAGAAATATGTAGAAAGAAATCATAGTCCCACAAAATTATTATTTGCAGTCTATAAGCCAATGGTAGTCTAGTACTCTGGTTGCAAAATGTGGAAAAAAGATATTTTAGAATACATCCTTCTGAGTTCGCTCTTCTTGACGTTTTTGGACCATGAGACTAGGAGAGTTAAAGAAATGCCTGGAAAGAGCACTTCTTTAAACTATTTACCATGAGACTAAAATAGACTGGTGAACTTGAGACTTGTATAAATCAAATTTTTTCAACAAAGAAATTCAATATTGATACTATGATTGGTTTCAAATCAAGAACAATGAATTAATTCTTATTTTATGAAATTATGATTAGTCTAGCAACTCAAATAGTAATAATAATTATGTAGTTTTTTATAGCTGATGATTAACTAAGAAATTTGTTGGTTTGTAGTATTTTTTTTTTATTTACGTCTTTCTAGTAGGTTGAAGGACCTTTTGATTATTAAGTCAATAATCGAAAAAAAGAGAAATTAAATCAGAATTTAAGTATATTTATGTGTATTCGAATAAAAAAGAATATTACAAACCAACAATTTTCTTTGTATACTAGGGTTTTAAACTATTTATCACGAGACTAAAATGGACGGTTGAACTTGAGACTTGTATAAATTATTTTTTTTAACAAAGAAATTTAATATTGATACTATGGTTGGTTTCGAATCAAGAACAATGAATTAATTCTTATTTTGTGAAATTATGATTAGTCTAGCAACTCAAATAGTAATAATGATTATGTAGTTTTTTTTATAGTTGATGATTAACTAAGAAAATTGTTGGTTTGTAGTATTCTTTTTTATTCCAATTACTTTCAAGGCAAGTCTCTTATCTTTCTAATAGGTTGAAGGACCTTTTGATTATTAAGTCAATAATCGAACAAAAAAGAAACTAAATCAGAATTTTAGTATATTCATGTGTGTTGCACTAGGTCAGGTTTTGAATCTATTTGCATGTTGAATGAGATGATGAATAATAACATGTACTAGAGAGATAACAAGATTAGAAATCTGAAATCTTTAGTAGTTATAATTCTTATATAAAGAGATTTCTCTCAACTAACTTACATGGTGAAAGAGATAGAAGGGTTTATTTTTAAACTGTTGATAGTTTCTAAAATCGAGTTGGAGAACCAATGCATTTGATGTGATTTGTTCTTTGATGATGCTCACATCATTATAGTTGGTATCGATGGACAAATATAGTTTTAGAAGTGTATTTTAATTTAATGCATATAATTTCTATCGCAATATTAGGTGAAGTGTACTCTCTTCATCCGAAACGAGCTCTTAAGATAGAGAGAGCAGTGGCATCCTGTTGAGGCTTTACCTTGTTTTCAATTAGTTATTGGATTTAACTAGGAATCCCACCTCGAGTATGGTTTGTCTGGAATGTCTAAATGACATATGCCATCGAAGCTCATCAATTAATGTTTAATCACATTAAAAAATATATGATTTGTTTATATATATATTTTTATTTCTAAGATGATATTATGATTACTAAATTATATTTACAATAATTATGTTAATGAGACGTGATGAATATAACATATATCCTAGTGGTAGACAGCTTAAAAGGTCACTTCTTTTCATCTTTATATTTTTTTCTTTCTCTTTTTTGTTTTTTCTTATTTTTTTAAATTACTCTGATAAATAGAGGTATTCTAAAATACCTTTACATGTGATAATATCTAAAAAAATACCTAAAATTTATTCGACATTCTAGAAAAAGATTGAAGGAGAAAAAAAAAGGTATTTTAAAATACCTCTATTTGTCAAGAGTAAATTATAAATTAGGTCCCTCAAGGTCGCTATCATCAGCATCAGCATCTACCAGCCTTCGACCCCTTGATGTGGAGCATGTGGATGACACAAGCCACCAAGCAACGAGGCAGGCTAGTGACAGACTTCGCATTTAAAATGTTTTAAAGTAAGATAATCAAACTGTTCAACTAGCTTCAGGTTTTAATGAAACATTTTTTGATCCAACAAAAAAAATTCCACACTGATGTTCTGCTTGCTTTCAAAATCAAGAACAGTGAATTAATTCCTATGGTGTGAAAAAAAGAAGAAGGTACTATCCCATTAAAAAAAGGACTAAAAGAGTTCAATTAAAGTAGAAGGGCCAAAAACATCTCTCTCTACTTGGTGAAATCCCAATCTAATTAATTCTCAAGTTCCACATAATATGATGAGCATCTTAGGGGTAGTCAGCTCAAAGGGTCACCTTTTTCATCAAACCTTGTAGTCTTTTTTTTTAACAAAAGAAATTGTTTTCTCATTTCATTTTTTTTCAAATACCTTTACAAGTGATAAAGTTAAAAAATTACCTATAATTTGTTTGACAGACTAGAAAAGAAAAGGTATTTTAGAATATCTCTATTTAGCAATAATCAATTGGTCATGGTAACATGAAGTCAAGGAAGAAAAACCATCATCATCGTGTACCAGCATTTGAGCCCTTCATGTCAGGGCATCTGCATAGCACAGCTACCAAGCTACAAGTGAAGCTTAATTCATTTTACAAGCAAAAAAATAAACCGTTGAGTTAGATTCAGGCTTTGAGAAATCATTTTTACCTGAAGAAATTTCAGAGTTGATGCTCTTCTTATTTTCATTATCAAGAACTATAACAAATTAGCAACATTCGAAAAAAATTAAAGGAGAGGAATCGACTCTTATCGTGTAAAAAAAAAAGGAGAAAATAAAAGGTTCCATTTCGTGAAATATAACCCTTTTTTTTTTTGGGTAGATCATTTTCAGTTAATTGTTGATTAGAAAAGAATCAAAAGATATACATCCACGTCATAATCATGATCACAACACATGTTTCTATGTTCCGTTTAAATACCATCAAACAAGACTTTACCATGAAAGGAACAACTCTCACTAACCATCAAGAGACCTCATAACCTGGTAAATTCTGAATTATCAATATTAACGAATAAAAAGGGCACACTTCTTCTACTTGTCAGACAATATATATATATAAACGTGACTTCATGAGATGTCTATGTCACATTTACCAATTTAAACGACAGACAAGATTAAAAAAATAATTTCGATTGCAATAGTAAAATAACCATCACAATAAATAATGTTATAAATAATTAATAGTTGTTAATAAATTTATTTTAATTCATATATTTTTGATATTTTTACTAATTAGCATACTAATAACATATCTAACAATTTAATATCATTCAAGAATAATGAAATTTATTAATAAAACTTCTAATAGTATAATGTTACGTAAACAATAAATATATTATAACTTTAAGATACATGTTACAAAATATTATCTCTAAAAGGATCGTCATTGATGATTATAACAATAGTTATTATCTTGTTGTTGATGTTGTGATCTTTATCCATCAAAGTTATAACCATAATTATATTGCCCCTCCCAATTCCAATTACTCCAACAATAAAGCAATCATGAATGATATAATTTCTTGGTGGATTTGAATCAAACTGGTTTGATGAGGTACTATATGGTATAAAGTGCATAAGCACAAATTTGTAGACCTCGTGGATGGTAATATTATCCCTAATCATTATTAAAGCTAGAAGCGACAAAGTAATGTCATTGATCTTTTAATATTTTATCACTAGATTGTTGTGGTTCTGTTATTGATCTTGTAATATTTTATCACTAAATTGTTGTGGTTCTATCATTGGTGCATTATTTCTAGCACCGGATCTAGAAATAATAAAACCATACAAGCCACATCTATATAGAACTAGATCATCACTACTATCATGTATGGTTTCAAGAGTATCTCTTGTTATTTGAGAAGAGGTCCTAACTTTATGGGCACTATTACCAAAGGCTACTTCATAGCCTTCATTTATATAGGACTAGATTATTACTGTTATTATGTATGGTTTCAAGAGTGTCTCTTCTTATTTGAGAAGAAGTCCTAACTTTATGGACATCATTACCAAAGGCTAGCCTTCATCATTGCTACTACTATTGTTATTATGGGAAGCTTCTAGATCATTAGCTTCCTCATCTTGTCCATCTTCGCCATTATTCTCATAATCATGTAGATCATTTTGATCATCAAGATTTGTAGATTATTTTAATCATTAGGATTCTTTTGAAAATTTTCTTCAATGCTGCTGCATATGCAATCAATCTATATTTTATCCATCGATAATCGGTTGGTTAATTTTTTTAGCCAAACAACCGGTGATTATCTTCATAAAACATATAATTCAAATTAATTGCTACTACTATTGCTACTTTATCCATCGATAATTGGTTGGTTAATTTTTTCAACCAAACAAACAATGATCATCTTCATAAAGCATGTAATTCAAATTAATTGGATTAAAATTTTTCTCTATTTCTTTTTGACTTTTTCACAAAGTGTTTCTCAATCTTAGCTTTATGTTACAATGAAGATAAATAAGCGTATGTAATTTTTGAAACTCTAATCTATTTTTATTTTTATATGCACGAAACGAAAAGTACTCTAGTTTCTTTCACGAGTTAGAAATAAATGTTATTTGACTTAATATTTGCATTGCAATGTTTTAATGAAGATAAACAAGCATATTTAATTTTTGAAACTTTAACCTATTTTTATTTTTATAAGTATGAAACTAAAAGTACTAAACTAAAAGTACTCTAATTTCTTTCACAATTAGAAATAAATGTTATTTGACTTAATATCCACATTGCAATTTTTTTAAGAGTTGGAGCATCATTTCTATATATACAACTATAAAAAAATGAATTATTAAATTAAATATTTATGTCATCATCATTTCTTTTTAATTTATTTTTTTAAGAAATAGAAAAAATATGTAAAAATATAAGAAAGAATTAATGAAAAAAATAATATTTTATAAAATAAAATAATTTTAAATTAAATATTTTCAGTACTGATTAAATATGACTAAATAATTAATTTTTAAAATAAAAAGGAATTATTCGTGTTTAGAAAAGAGAGGAAGCAATTTACAATTTACTCTATTTAGAATTTACTTCTCTGTTACCGTTGAGATTTGAATTTCAAAACTCTCCACATCAACGCGCACCGTCTCTGTCTCCATCCTTCTTCCAAAAAGGAAAAAAACCTCAATTATTCTATGTACCCTAATTTTACCGAGGCTAGTGATTAGAGATTCTTTTCTTTCATTATCAGAATCGATCAAGAGATGAAGAAGTCTCATCAGATCTCAATAGCATCAAAATCATCGACGAGGAAGCCACTAAAAGACTTATCAAATAATCACAGCAACAATAGTAATGGACGATTCATTAAATCTGTGAACGCCAAGAAAAACTCAATGCCAAGCAAAGAAATTGGTGAAAATAAAAGTGTGATTAGGGTTCAAGAACAAGAAGAACAACAGGAAGATGGCGATGACTGTCTCGACCGCCTCTTGCTTGTCCAATCTGATCTCTCGTCTCTCACTCGCCAGGTAACTTACTTCTCCATGTACATTTTGTGTGTAGATTTTTTTTTTAATTGTGTCTGAGACAGAGAGAATTGAAATTTCTTGATTAATTGGATGATTTTTATCTGTGTAGATTTAATTCTTGCCCACCGTAATTATGCTGTAGTTTGGACACTGTATAAGCACCCTGATTGGACTTCTTTGCCTGTTTTGTTTTTGTTATGTGGATTTGGGGAACATTTAATCAATTTGTCAAGTACATATGTAACCCAATTAAAAAAATAGGACAAAAGATTGCTTGTTGATTCTGAAACCAAGAAGCTTCAATAAGTTTACCCAATAGAGAGAGTGCGAAACCACGATAGTTGAAGCAGGTTTAAGAGAAAACATGACCATAACTGCATAAAAGCGTTACTGGATTAAGGGTGAACTTTTTTTAATAAAAAAAAAGGATTGGAGCATGTACTTTCTGAATCTTGTACGTTTCAGCCAGCTCCAAGCAAATCTTTACATGTCATAAAAAAGGTGTTATTTAATTCTTCTTGTTAATTTAATTCAGTCACACACCGCAGTGGAATATGTTTTGTTACAATTAGTTTGCTGATTTCAATTGCTTGCCTCTTCACTTGAGAGATGTGTCAAAATTTATTTTCAGTATGTTACTGTATCTGTATGCTGCACAGCTCAAGGAATCCAACAGGATCGTTTAGTGGCACCCGGTTGTTTTAGATTCTTTAGTGATTGACTGGAAAGACATAGTGGCATCCTTTGAGATAGAGTTCTTATTATCGTTTGTTTCATAGTTTTAAGATTTTCTCTGTGTTTGTGTTTTTTGTTTTGCATCTTGGCTTGAAATATATAATATCCTCTTTTGCGAACATGCTTTAATTTCTTGTTTAAATTGTAGCTGGCCCATGCATTATTAACCTATCAAATTTACAGATAGATGAACTTGTTGCCGAAGCATTTAAACTGAAGGTCAGGAGCAAAGAGGGAAGAGAAGAAATTGAATCTTTTACGAATGTCTTATCCAATATGCTTTCTTCTTTAAAGGTTACTTCCCCTACCAATTTCTTTCCCATTTTTTGTATCCCTTTGCACAACCTATTGCGCAAGTGATATAGTCTTCATTCATGTTCAATTATTGCAGCCATGGGTCCCCAGATTTCAGAAGGTTCTTTCCAGTCATTTTGTGGAGCCTGAAAATCAGTTACAACATAAAACTGTTTCTGAAGTAAATGAAGATAAAAGCTTTGATGTTGACAGCCCAGAAAAAACCAACATGGATTCGTTGATCTCTCCTTCCCCCCTTGTATCCTGGCGAGCTGGCTGCAACGTTGAGAGAGGTAGACAACTATTTCTGCTAACCCCCTTCCTATATCAAAAACATTATCGTCTAGACGTCAGGACTTGCCTAAACCAGTATTTGAAAGGATTGCTTTAAATCCTGCTGTTGAGCTACCATCACTTTTTACTGTTTCTGGAGATGGAAATGAAGATTTGCTTGAAGACATGGCAACAAAGCCGACCCCAACTAAGCCTGCTGATTCTGTTGCAACTGAAGGAAAACTTGAGTGTGTTTCCTCCGCGACGTTTTCAAAACAAAACCACTCTGTTGTTATGACCCCATGCTTAAACATGTCCCCTCCAAAATCATGTGTGCTGCTCGAACCCATCTCGCAGTCCTCTCATAAAGGCAATTATAGGTTGCGGAAGTCCACTCCGTTTCCTGTTGGAATTCATTCACACATTTCTGAATCCTCCAGCAGTGAAGGTTCTGAGGATCTGACTTTGAAGTACCCAGAGCTCTTAGGGATAAGACGAGCTTATAAATCTATAATGGGAATTAAAGATTTAGAGGCATCTCCAAAGTGGTCCTTTTCACCTCCTAAAACTTGTATTGTTTTGGAGCCACCAGTTGAGAAATCATTGGACATCAATGCTGCTGATCACGACTTGAAAGTCCATGCTCCTGTTTTGAATCAGCTAACGAATTTGACTCTCGCAAAAGAATGTGATGTTCAAGGAGGTTGTCATCAAATCAAGAAACCTTGCAATGGAGGTATCCATTTCATTTTCATAATATTCCTTGCTAACTCTGATAGTATGTTAAACATTATCATGATCAAAAGCTCCTCCTCTCTTTCAACAGAACCTATATGTAGCAGCTTAAAGCTAATTAAAAGCACTCCTTTATGGAAGGAGCCTGAAAGCACAATAAGGACAGGGAAGCGTCCTGGTGAGAATACCCTGAAGAAGGAACTTTGGACAAGGTTTGAAGCAGCATCTACATATGGGCTCTGTTTGAATGCCTCTGCATTCCAAGGGACTGGACGGAAAGGTTTTCTTGACATGCTTGATGAAGCTTCATGTGGTGAGGGCAGTCCAACTGCTGATGGTTTGAGAAAACAAATATTCTAAAATGTTGGAAAGTTTTGATTTGTGAATCTTGTTGTATGTTATAGTTGTTTAAAATTGTCAATATCTTTTGTATGCCTCTATCTACCATAGTAATACTTCCCAAAAACATGTACTTTGAAGCATTTCATTGAGTATCTTTGCAATGAAGAATGTTTGCAAGGGCAAATGCTTGGTTGAAGGCTGTATGTGTTTTGGAGCAATATAAAGCCTAAGGAGTAGAAGATTATATTTTTATATGAGTATTTGTTTATGCTGTTATCGCGTAGATTACAATTCAAGAGCTGGTTGGTTCACTTTTATTGGACTTTCTAAAATGTAGAAAATATAAGCCCTTAGGATTTTATAAAACATACTTCAATTATACGAATGAGGCATTCTAAACCGTTTTCCTTCTTTAATATATTTGTTACCTTGATTAAACCTATATAGATGATATTATCCTCCTATTAGGTGTGGTCACTGCTGGTGACGTTAAAGGAGTTGCTGAGCCTTATTTGCAAAAGTAACAGGTTAGGACATGAAGGTAAGATTGTCTGCTCGTTCCAACAATGCCCAAAAGATTTTCTTTATGAAATTTCAGGCAATTCCAGACATCACAGACTTACCTAGTTTAAAAAACAAAAAGGTATTTTAGAATACCTCTATTTTCAAATCATTTTCTCTCTCTCCTTCTTCTTCTCTCTGTCCTACCACCCTTCGAACTCACGACCTGCTAGCGAAGGTATCATAGACATACAACAACCAACAGGACACAAGTGAGGCCAGTGATAATTGTTGTTTTTAATTTTTTTTAAAATATAGATTTAGCTAAGTCCTATTTACATTTTCAAAGTTTTTTTGTAAAAAGAAAAAAAAAGGTATTTTAGAATACCTCTATTTGTTTATCATTTTCTTTCTCTTCTTCTCTCTCTCTCCTCTACCAGCCTTCGAACTCACGAGCTGCCAGTGAAGGTATCATAGAAGCATACCTACCAACAGAACACAAGTGAGGCCAGTGACAATTGTTGCTTTTACAATTTTTTAAACTACAGAAAAGGTATTTAGCTCAGTGACTGCCTATTTATATTTTCGAAGTGTTATAGGAAAGGAAGAGTTCCACTTGTTTTGGAATGGTAAGATTCCGTGGTGGGCTTAAAATTGCCAGGACCCAACTCATGTTTGACTTTCCAAACCCTTGCTTCAAGTTACCTCAAATGTTCCGTACTCAAATTCACTTGCTCTGTTGTTGCTAAGTCTAATAAGCTAATATGGTTTATTTATTTGGACAACATGTGATGAGAAAAGAAGGTAGGTTTTGTAAACGAGCCTTGCCAAGTCAAAGATTTATCATCTATCCAAAATTAATTGGGGCGGTAGACGTGAACATGCCAAAACGGGTTCAGTTTAGTGATAACACGCTCGTTCACCTCGCTAGAGAGCTTGGATTCGAACCATGGCATTGTAGCTCTTGGTTGGTGAATCGCCGGCAACTCTGTATCCTCTGGTTCCATCCATGGAGGTACAAACCTTTCACAGAAATGCAACTGTCTTGCAAAACAACAGCTTTGTAAAAAGTCGGACAACTAAATTGAAAAGCTATTCTGTACAGCAAGATTTGTCAAAAATAGTTGTTTGATTCAAACATGTAGTTGAAGAATAGGACCTTTACATACAGTTAAACCAAAAATCATACTGGAATGTAATCTTCTTCTCGAAATCTTTCAATAAAATCTTCTTCACACTCTGGGATCGTGTTGCTTGTTGCTACTGCTCCCCATTAGACTGAGGTCCACAAGGACTTGCACCCCCACGAATCCGTTTCTGCAAACGCTCCAAGCTAGCCACTCGCTGCAAGGAAGCAGTTCGCCCCAACTTGTTCCCCGATACTCCTGCTGCTGCTCCAGAATTTGGCTGCACATTTTCAACAGAAGATATATCTGCCAACACATTGTTGACTCTGGGCCTTGGGTGATGAGTTGATATAGGATTGTTTGGAGCTTCATAAAAGTGATGCTTTGGATCGTCCTGGACAGGAACAGCAGCATCTGCTGATGTGTCGGAGGGGCTTCCATCAAATGATGGTGTACTCATTATGGATAAATCAGGCATGGCATGGAAAATAGGGTTCGACCCAGTAAATCTTTTGACTGTCTCTTCAGTCATCTTCACCTGGATATGCAAGCAATCACCAAATGAAAAAGAACAACTGAGTGTCAGTTTTCTGTCTCCTGTTGTACCCTTTCCCCTTTATATGTACATACATGCCAGTGAGCTAGTAGGGGATAGTACAATCACCAGATTTCGTTCTCAGCTGGGTAGGGGCGATTTCTGTTTAGATATCTTTGCTTATATTTTGGAGTTTAAAGACAAAACAATTAAACAAGTTACCTTCGCTCTCAGTGTTTCAACGTCAGCTTTTAAAACTCTGTTGTCAACAGCTGACTCATTGTACTTCTGACTTATGTCAGTGAGGCGCTTCAGTAGAGAAGAATTTTCAACCCTCAATTGAGAAACCTGTAAAGAGAAATGTTCAGGATTTCTGTAGAAGAGGAAAAGCAAAAAGAAAAGGCAAGTAGGCGGTAAAAAGAACCAGACCTGTGTCTCAAGCTCAGTCAAATGGGCCTGCTTTCTTCTTCTTGATCGTCTAGCCGACTCTCTATTTGAAAGCATTCTGAAAAAACACCACATGAGTCAATGGAAGGGAAAGGAATCCGTAGCAGAAAAGTTTGAAGAATATAATCTGATCCACCAGTGTCCACAAATTAGACCCAAAAAGAAAATATGTGCCCAAGTTTCAGGTGCCATCATCAAATATGCTACCAGCTATTTTGAGCATCAAGAGAAACAACAAACCATTGCAGTGCTAAATATTTTAATCAATTTGTTCTTGCACACATTCATGTTTCCGTTGGCTATCTCCATGATGAATCTAATCCTAAATGCATGAGACAGAGTTCAAAAACTTAACACTAAACTGATGCTTTATGAGCTGTTATCTGATATTTTGATGGAATATGTTTGCGCCACGTAAACTGACTGAATAATCTTGGTCTCTCTCTGGATGCCAATCACACATTGCAGAACCAGAGTATGGTAACAAAACAAAAAAAATGACTATCCACTAAAAATCGCATCAGGAACATGAAGTCTTGCAGTGGATGTTTAAACGTGAATTTTCCAATTTAAGAAGAGAGAATTCATATTCCAATCTATGAGCACCAAACCTATAACACTAACAATCAGAAAAGCACGGAAATAGTTACCTCCTCACACGCTTTGCATCAGCAGGGTGCATATTCTCAGTTAATTCAGTTTCTGCTTCATTTTCATCGTCATCTGACAGTTCTCTGGATGATCCACTAGTTGTTGTCTTCACAGTGCCTGCACATTTTCTTAGCATGGAAGGCAAGGAGAGAGTTCCAAGTGGCTCATTTCCATCTTTATCTTGGGACCTCAATAAATCATATCCAGCTCCTGCATAGGCAATTAAAAAGGGAAATAATTAAAAATGAACAGTATAAGTGTTTTATGGAGGTATGAAAAACCTTATACCAACTAGGTGGAGAGGTATGCTGCGGGTGAAAGAGTAAAGAACAAATTTAGGATTTAGGATTTAGGATTAGGCAACATATGCTCATCATTGCATCAAAATGCAAACATATCAATTATGACTAGATGATTCAAGTTTTGCTATCTTTTTAGCCAGGGAACAATGCAAAACAATTTAAAACACCTTTTCAATATTCCTACTTAGAGCTACTAACATTTTTGGCAAATGAATTAACGACATTAAATATTTCATCAAAGAAGCCATACTTTGGGTTATGGGGAAATGACCTTCTAGTTTCCTTCACATCATGATCCCTCTCTTTTTCATTCACTTTCCCATCAGCCAGGTTTCTCTTATGTGTAAGTTCATCATATCACTCTGATTTCGGATTCCAATTCCCTTACAGACCTATATGCTGTTAGCCTGTCACTGCCTGCTTCCAAGAAGCATGACTAAACTCTGGCTTTCAGCAAGTTGAATTACCAGTGCCATCGTGCAAACAATGATGCCTTTAAAGCATTCTCAACTAGTTTGATAGCAGATAAAAGAATGACAAGACAGTGGATCATTGAGCAAAAGTCCCTTCCAAGATAATACTAAATTGCAGGAATCCTTTCATATATCTAGATTCTTTGAAAATTCTTTCCAAGCGTATGTAAGAACTCCTTTTTCTATGGAGCACAGGAAACCCAATTCCCTCGTTAATGCGGGTTCATTGCAAGTCTTATGTAATTGATTCGCATGCTACATGAATCTAATAGTCCGGAAAATTAAGTTGACACGCTAAGTTAGTTTATCCATTCTTAGTTGTTTATCTTTATCAAAATGACTCTGCTCTTGTAGCTTTTTAACTCTAATCTCTCTGCAATTATTTCTTGTTATAATGAAAGCAGCAATGCCTCAAAAAGGTATGGGTATTTACATTTGAACAACATGCATAGAAATGGCAAATAACGGAAGTTAAACCTTTAGAAGGAGCATGAGATCCCAAAGGAGAAGCGTTTGAAGCCTGTGATCCACTTTCAGCCGTAGCAGGAGAATCTAGAGGTTTTACAAAAGATGCCTATTGACAAGAGCAAAACATATTTAATTAACCAAGATAAGCCTTTTCAAATATTCACAGAATCACAGTAACCAAAAATACCTAAACAAGAATTAAGAATGCAAAATAGAAAGGATGGCTTTGCATTTGCTTTATCCAAACATAGTGCTACTTCCCTGTTATTCACAAAATACCATTTAGGTTCTGTTGCTTAAAAACATTCAGTTTCACCTTTCCAAATTAGTTTTGAAGCTGAAGTTCTTATGACTTGGGACCTCCACTATTCTGAAAAAAGTGGCTTTCATAATCCCTTTATAATCAATAATTCAGGCTATGATTCTGACAATTCATCGTTCGGTTAAAACGGTTAGTGGACTTCCTGTCTTCCTTTTGCTCGATCTTCAAATAGATCTCACTACCTAGCTTCAACAACTTCTGATCTTATGTTTCATATCCATGGAAACCTAATGTTAAAGCAATTTCAAAAGTGCTACCCTTCTTATTCTCAGTGGATTTCTTACTTCAATTTTAGTCAAGCATCATGCAGAATTTCCCTTGTACAGCTGACGCCTACTTCGGCCCTGGACCTTCTTTCATCTCTACGGACAATTTCCTTTTATGGAACAGTTGCTTTCCTTAACAGACACTACAAAGGCACAAACCTTATACCAACCTCCATATCGAATTTCCACGTTCCACTTGACAAGGCTACAAATTAAAAGTAAATAAAAGCTATTGGAACACCACCACCCAATAAAAAGACGTGATTGAACTGTATTTGGCTGGCGGCAGCTACACAAAATGCCAGTAAAGTAGGATTAAAAAAACAAAAAAATACCTAACTGCCAACCATTAGGCACCCATGTAAACCAAATTCTCCACTCAATTTCAAACCAATACAACTGTTGAACTAAAGAAAAACAGAAAGAAACCAGCAAACTTATCCAATTCCCATGAACAAAGAACAAAAGCACGCATAAATGTAACTCCTTTTAGTTTTCTTCAATTTTCTCAGAAATAAAAGGAAAAAAAAATTCTATCTAATAGTTAAATAATTAAACTAATTATTTCATTACCCAGAAACCAAAACAACACAGTGAGAACTTAAAAAAAAACACACACGCAAAAGAAAATAATAATAAAAAAAAATCCACACTTTACTACCGTTCCTAATTTTTATTCACTAATCAAACCCAACCAAGGAAAAAAAGAACACCACAAGATCCAATCTTTTTCTTTCCTTTAACTTGCTAACCAAAAAATGAAAAAGTCCACATGAAAAATCACACAAAAAACGTATAATAAATCCATATGCACATATATTCTCAATTTAAAGCAACAAAAACATTAAAAAAAACACTTTACCCGAGACAAAGCAACCGCAGCACAAGCCAAATTGAGTTTACTCTTCAAAAGCGCATGATAATCCTCAGATTCCACCGGAATATTCGCCGGAGCAGGAAAGGAGGATGCAACAGTAGCACAGCTCCCATTAGTGAACGACATGGCATTCCCTTTAAAATTATTATTATTGTTATTATTACAACTCTCACTAGCAGCGTTGTTATTGCTGTTACAATGATCCTCGATTTGAACAACGTCAGTTTGATCAGCTGGAGAATTAGAAGAAGTATTGTCATCAAAGGTTGCAGCAGAGGCTTCTTGAAGGAATCTTTGAAAAGCCCATTCAGATTCAGACCGGTTCATTTTGAATAAATGCTTAGGTTTAGAAATTGGTGGTAGTGACCAAGAATGGCCGGTATGTGTAAGATCCAGCTCCACTGAAAATGCCCTATCCATGTTTAACTTATAATGTTTTAAACGTTGTCGTGTATAGGTGGAGATGATGTGGGTCTGAGGTGGTAATGGATAAAATGGAGTTTTACTATTGATTTTCTTTCCCTTTTTGTTGGCTTCGTTTTGGGGTTGGGGTCCATTTTCTCATTATATATTTAGTCAGGTAGGGAGAAATATCCACTACTTGTGTGGTGTAAGATATCAATCGTGTGTATGGTCCCTACTACAGGTACGAGAATTTTGACATCTCATCAACATTTGTGCATATCCATTTTGATGGGAGATTGAGAGTGATTTTTCTTTTTTTCATTTTGATAGAGGATTATGATCTTTTGTGTTATAATTGATCCAGTGATATTTTCTCCTTAGTTTTTTTTTTTTTTGTTTTTTGGAAAGCAAAGAGTATTTTTAATGTTAGTTTGTATATCAATCAATAAAAACTAAGCAATTTTTTTGACGATTTTTATATGTGTTTTAATTGGAGTTTTCGGAGTAATTTTTTATTTATTTATTATTTTTGATCATTTTGATGGAGGATTATGATCTTTTGTGTTATATTCAATTGATTTAGTGCTGTTTTCTCCTAATTTGTTTTATTTTTTGAAAGTAAAGAGCATTTTTAATATTAGATTGCACATTACTAGAAACTAAGTTTTTTTTTTCTGAAGATTTTTAAAGCATACCTAATATATTCAAATAATTAAAGTAAAAATTATATTTTTTTTAACTATCGGATTAATTTTTTTAAATTGATATTTTTTCTGGATTGATTTTTGTTTTCGATCAAGAATGATGCTAGTGATATCAATCTCTTGCTATTTTAGACCAAAAATCAACACCATTCCGAAATTTGGATGATTGTTTTTGCTTTAACAAATCTACTCGTCAATTTGGATAATCATAAATATGATAATTGCCTTATTTAACTAATTTCTTAAGTGTAGAAACAACTTCTTATGATATTCACATTTCTAAATATGTCTATTTTATTTTATTATTATTATTTTGAGATATTGACTCTTATAATAAGTGAATTTGTTTATCCACGTGATCATTCTAGACTAGAATCTAAAAATGTAAGAAAAAAATATTGTTAATGCATCCATTCTCATTGAAAAGAACTTGGTCCTATGAAGAAAAAAAAAACTTTATATTAGTATCTTTGAAAAGTAAAGATAGAAATATTCTTGGGAAAAATATCATTGATTCCTTTGAAAACTTAAATGGATATAAGAAGTGCACCTTAGAAAAAGCGAAAATCATTGAAGATTGGAAGAGAAAAGATCTTCCATTGAAATTAATAATGATAATCCAAAACCTTGTATTTGAAAGTTTTTTCATACCATCATTTGACAGTCCTACAAGAAATATCTCCCAAAATATTTGTCAATATAATAAAAAATTTCGTATAATATATTAGTTTATTGATTTTTTTTTTTTTAGTATGAAAAATATAGAAAAGCATTAAAAAATTTACTCTTTCCGTCCCAAAGATAATGTCCGCTTTTCTATTTTGATATGTTTTAAAACTGTTCTTCATCGTCAAAAAGTCAAACTATTAATTATTTGATTTTTCTATTTTATACCCATAATGACTACTTCAAATATTTTAATCCAATCACTCTCTCTTTCATTTACATATGGTATTAGATACTCCAAATTTTACGTAAATAAAAATCAAAATGTACATTTGGACTTCGTTAATTTTATTGTCACCGAACAAGAAAGAAGTAAAGTACCCTATTTACATTAAATCTGTGATTTTTTTTTACAAGTCATGTTAAATGTAATAGCATGTTACAAGCAATTTTACGTTAATCGTTGCATTTTTGTTAGGTTAAATAGGTCAATCTGTACTTATATAATAATTCGAGTCTCCAATCTATCTTTTCAATCATTTTTTTCGATCATGGACAAGTTTTTATTTGAAATATCTCTAACTAAAATGTTAAAAAATAAAAATGTAATGCCTTGAAAAATAAAAAGCATAGGTCATGTGACATTATATGATTTTTTTTATTTTTTTTGTATTTTAATTAGGAGTATTGTGTTAAAAAAAAAATTATTCATAGTCCGAAAAATTGATTGAAATAACAAATTGGAGACTTATATATTATTTAAGAACATAATAATTGTAATTAAAAACATAGAGATAGATTAGAAATGTGAACTGTTATATAAAGATAAACTGATGGGTTTACTTTTTTTTTTTTTTGTCATTATGCATGTTGGCCCAAAGGCATCCATTGCTCTTAATTTTGATGATAACAAAGCATTTAGAGGATATTATTTTTATTATTGTTGTAATTATTATTTTGAGTTTACATTTTGTATTGGTTCATCATTATCTAATATATCTCAAGAACTTATTGGCATGGTTAATAGTATGTAAAATGAAAATGTTGATGACCAAGGTTGTTTCAAGCTTAGTTTAGAAACAAAAGGACTTAATTAAGATTCAAGGTTTTTTTAGGGATTAAAATGATTTTTTGAAACAAACTTCATATCCAAAACTACCTCTGAAAAAGCTTGCCCTAAAACTGGTTTCAAAAGTATCACTTTTTCCTCTAAAACTGCAGGTGTCATCTAGTATACCAAATGGCCTTATTGGATCAAGAGAGAGAAACATCTCTATTAGTTTTCGTTGATCCTGTTGGTCCAAGGGTTATCAACTCTAATTTTAATGGACTGATTTAATTTAAATGAGATTATTATATTTAAAATTATTTAATATTGTATCTAGCGTGCGATTAATCTAAGGTGAAGACAACATTTGAACGTTTCAAATATGGAAGCATAATATTTTACAAGTATGGAAAGAAGACTATATGATTATCGAGTCAAAAAAACCTATATCTTGAATATCACTTCTAAAATTACAAAGATTGGATCAATTCCAACATATTTATGTAATTAAAAAATAATTATGTAAATTAAATGATTGTAATTAAAAAACATGCTTATTACATGCTTAAGAGACTAATTAACAATCATTTAATTTGTAATTATATATTTTTAACTACATAATTACTTTTTTTAATTACATACTCAAGGGACTAATTAGCAATAATTTAAATTATAATTATGTGATTTTTTAATATAATAAATGATATTTATAGCATTTAGTCATTTTCACGCATGATTCACTTGTTTTCTTTCGTAAAGATGATTTAATATATTAATAAATATTTTATCAATTTGTTCAATATTATATATAAATAAACTATTATAACGTCAATAATATAAAGTACTATTTATCATTAAAAATAAGTTAAATGAAAATCTCTTGAACGCTTACATGCTAACATATACTAATTGTTTTTATATATTTTTAATTGACAAAAAATTCAGCATAGCACAATACATTATTAGAATTATTAATAATGATATAATAGACTCTTTAGCATTAAAGACATATTGGAGACTCAATCATTATAAAAGGACACATTGAAAATTTAGCATGTTAAACCAAGAGAGGTTATTTCATTAAAAAAAAAAGGTGCATGTCGTCTTGTAATATTTTCAAGTAGTTTGGCTGGAAAAATTGACTAAAATAATAGATTGAAAATTTACTTAAATAACATAAATATAATTGGGTCATTTCAAGATACAAGAAAAGATTGAAAACTTAAGATATTATATAAAGACAAATTAGGCTATTAACTTTAAAAATTGACTCCACCAACTTTAAAAATTAGATAATTTTTTACCTGACCTATAAGCAAGCTTCTTTTTATCTTTACAAGTTGATGCAATCCTTTTCTTACTCTTACGAGCTAAATACTTAGTTATTCCCTTGCCATTATTTTGATTGCATCATCGTTTGCCATTCAAAGAGTTAAATTAAGTTTTACGAAGACTCGAGGCTCTCTTTTAGAATTTACTCTTTGTTAGTTCGAGTTCTAAGTGCATTATTTTTTAGTGAAAAACATTATTAAAATATAAGTGATATTTTAACCAACTGAATTTTTGGTTGTGAGCTTTTGATAGCTTAGGTAAGTGGGTTTGATCTTGAGTTCGTGAAAAAGATTGTTCAAGAGTTTTAATCTTGAGTCCGAAAAAAGTTTGGTGCTGTAAATAACGAGGCATCATCCACAAAGACGATTGTTAAATAGTAGAAATACTCAGATTTTTGGTTCGAGAAGTGAATTAGACATTTGATCAAACCACTATACATCGTGGTGTCATCTTTCTAATCCTACTTTTTTCATCATAGCACTTTATCTGTGTTGTTAATGCTTGCAAGTTTGAAAAATAAACTAAATTAAGATTGGCGAGGTGATATTTTGAAAAAAAATTAAATAATTTTAATTTATTACCTAATTCACCCCTCTCTTTAGCATCAGGGCTTTCGGTGCAATCTTTTGTTGCTACTTTCTCTACTTTTAGTCCTAGCCTCTTGTTTTGCCTTGATATTGATGTTTATTTAATTTTATAATTGAGGTGTGTTGATGAAATAATTGATGATTTTTTTGTTGATTTGTTAGTGATTGTTGCTTCAGTGAATTAAAAATCTATTTTACCTAAAAATAAATGATTTGTTATAAGTAATCAAGGAAATATTTCTAAGCTTTTATATTGGTAATTTATGAAAATAAAACTAATTATGTTTTATAAATCTAGATATATTTACTAGCTAGAGTTCGTAAAAATAAAATAAAAAATTAATGCTTGCGGTACGATTTAAACCCATCTAGTAAATAAATCCCTCATCAGTAGACTAATTTTATTGATTTGATGGATATTTCATTTTAAAAAATAAAATAAAGATAATATTGGAAAGTAACTTTAAACCATATAATATAACATGCTATTAATTATGTATATTTTTTAATCTTCATGAAAAAATCAAATGAGACTATACCTTTAAGAGGAAGGGAGAGCACTAATCATTGGCTAGGGAGTGATTGGCTAGCATAAAACGGGATTACCTACTCCTTGTACACACATAAGAATCTCGTAATTGTTAGGTATTTGTTGAAGAAGGATAGGATAGAGACGACTTTTTCTAAACGCTGGTGGCTGCCACTGGACACCTCTCTCTTGTGGGATGCGGCGGTCCAATTTCTCGATAAAATACTGAATCTGGCCCACAAATAATTGTGGGCCCTAGTGTCTCTTGGGCCCACAACTTTTTAGTTTTTTCGTTTTCCTTCAAAGCAACCCAAAGATGTGTTTGTTTGCACCTGGTGGTGTTGTCGCCATTGACGTTAATGCCATTTTAACATTAAACTAACTTTTATTAGCTGAAGAATGTGTCAACTACGTGTAAAAACGCCAAAAAATTGGCTTGGATTTCCCCACTGAGAAGCTGGTCTTAATTAGAAAGAATAAAAAGAAAACAATAAAATTTGAGCACAAGAAGCACTAACTACTAACCTACCTTTCATTACTTAGTTATTTGTTCGAAAGTTATTTGTTCGAAAAGACAATATCCGTTTTTGTCTCAACTTCTTGACGTTGGAAGCAGTAAGGATAATGTTAATTTTATCGAAAGAACAATTTTAAATTACTTTCTTGATTGTTTTTTTTTTTTTAATGCATAGGAGAAATAAACCCCACGGGATCTGATCATGCAATATATGTAATTATTCAAAAAACTCAATCGAGTTCAATCTTTGGAAAAAAAATCAGAATTACAATATAATTTGAGAAATGGTTAAAGAGTAATATAAATTATATGTGTAGCCTCATTTAAAAATTTAAAATTTTAGATGAGATGGTCATTTGATATGGTATCGGAGTTTAGTTGACCAAGTGATCCCGAGTTCAAGTGTCACCACCTTCGCTTCTCAAGTATGAACCTATGCAATCTCAAGTATGAACCTATGCAAGTTTCAAGCTCTTTGAGGGGTATGTTAGAAAGTAATATAAATTGTATATATTCGACCGCATCTAACAACTTAAGCTTTTAAGTGAGATGATTATTTGAATTGAAAAAATTAGAATTCGGATATAATTTTAGTAATCATTTATAGCATATTGTATAGTAAGAAAATGAGATTTGTTGAATACAAAATCTCTCAAAAACTAAATTAAAAGCAAAAACTAAAAAAAAAAAAAAAAAAAAAAACTCAAATATAAATTTTAGGATAAATAACTTACTCTATCTTTATATAATGCTTTGAGTCTTTTATTTGTCTTTAAGTTTTTAATTGCATATTGTCGAGTTTTTTAAAAAAATTTTAAAATGTTCAATTTATCTTTTTGATTTTTTTTTTTTACCTAAATACTCCTAATCGAAAAAAAAATTCAAAAACTTTAAAACTATTGCAATGTTTTTTAAAAATAGATGAAATACAATTAGAAATCTAATGATACATAGGAGATTAGTGTATTACATAACTCAATCTATTTTTATATAATGTTTTGAGTCTTTTATTTGTCTTTAAGTTTTTAATTGTTTGCCGTTTGTTTTTTTAAAATTTTTTAAAATATTCAATTTATCTTTCGATCATTTTTTTTATTACTTAAATACTCTTGAATTAAATATAAAAAAAAATCGAAGACTTTAAAAATATTTCAATTTTTTTTTAAATAGACAAAATACAATTAGAAATTTAAAGATATACAAGATATTAGTGCATTATATAAAAACGGACTGAGTTATTTAATTTTTTTTTTTTTTCAATTCATAACCAGTGGTTAGGTTACATTTAAAAAGTATATCCTAAGTAACTAAAGGTCAAACAATAACAATAATAATACCTAAAACTCCTTAAAATTAAGCATTTAGAGTGAATTTTGATATAAAAATAACTTTGGGCGCATCCCCATACTCTAAAGCTCTAAATCATCTTTCTGGATTAGACTTGCAGACCCCAATGGTCAAATCAAAAGTTATAACATGTTATCGTATCTGTTTGCCCTTCTGGTTATTGATCTAATCCGTTTATTTTTCTGTTAAACGTCCCACATCAATTCAGCACTTTCCCATTTATGCTTAAGTTCAGAAGTTATTTCGTTGATGTGATTAAAGAATCTCATATGAACATGAGAAAGATAGAACACCCAATCGAACAAATTGCTCGGCGCGTGGCGTTGCTAAGGGTCCGCCGCGCAAAATATAACAAAGATCCGGCAGTTTATGACCCCTTGTCCCTTGATGATCTATGTTGGATTAATTAATTTAATTGTGCCTCTGATCTTATCCTCTGTTGATCTTTCCGTAGACAGCAGCTCGGCCATCTATGTCTAAAATCTTTAAGTTGATAGGCCTGCTTGATCCTGATTTGACTTATCATTTGAATTTAGATTCAGAGCACCCAAAGCTAAAGGGATTAAAAAAAAAAAAAAGGGGTCTACCAAGGGTATCTTGATTTGTGCTTGGAACCAATAAATTTGACTGTATTTAAACTTTATGAACTTTTCATGATCATGAAATCCCACAGCTGACAGCTTCACCAAATCCCACTAGTTCATCAAATTCAGGATAACTGGTTCTGAAGATAGATGCTACCTGTGGACAAAATCTTATAGTTCCCGAGTATCATCCACCTTAAACCTTACAACAGAGAATAATATTTTGTAGCAGTGAAGAAAATAACACTACATCATTTTAGACCAGTGAAGAAAATAAGCAAATTCAGTGCGCAGCTGAAATAATTTCAACTCAGATCAAAAAAAGAAAGAACTAGTAGGTTGGGATGCTCATGGTTAATGAATGGCTATCGAATACTTTGGTTCCTCAATTGCATAGTAAAGCATTTAGTCCACGAGAGTCATTACTTTTCCAAAGAAAAAGACAACGTAGATCAGAAAAGCCTAGATCCAAATGACCCTACAGGCGAGGAATCCAAAGAAAGTTATTGACAAAAAAACTGAACCGACATTTGATAAATGAGATTCCAACCCATTGATAAATTATATAAAAAAAAAGCAAACAATTAAGTAAAGAGGCCTTTCCCAATTATGATCCCACCAGACGAATCAACGAATACGAGAAGATAATGTTACAGCATACAGAGGTGTGACAAATGTGATGAACTCATGGCTATCAATTAGGAGAAAATAAATGTATGACCTGAAAGCAAAGCATGTGGACATGCTCGATGCCTTCCGGATGCAATGGACTCAGAAGAGAACAGATACTTCACTCGTGAAAGAACAGAATCGTGAGCAGGGTCACAAGGATGATCCTTTGAAGGAATCTCCAAAATTGCTGGAACTGGTTTGTTGTAGCTATCAACTAGGAACCTTATCATGTTTGCAACCTGATAAGCGAAGGGAGAAAAGGGTTAGTCTTCTATAAAGTTTTCACATCCAACCAAAAGATAAAGGGAATTCAATACTGCAAAGTAAGCCATGCGATTTTGAATTACTGTACATTAGACAACACCAGGACACTTCGCCAATTGCCTGATAACCAGATGGCAAACATCATTACACCTAGTCATGTACCTCAAAATTCTTAAACTCTATGTCTTCTTCAATAAAGAGTTGTAAATATTAATCTCGATAATAGATGGTTTATTGCTTTATTAATCGTACTTCCACCTCTGTTCCCAACATAATATCCAGCTACGAGCAACAACTTACATATTGGCTGATCAAGACTATTGCAATGTCCTCCTTTGTGGTGAACTCCTTGAATGCATCTTCAATTGCTTTCACAGTTGTTTCTGGGCATAAACATGAAAAGCATATGTCGAGATAAACATCAACTCCCCTCATAAATTATGTCAAAGTCGGATGTCCACGTTTTTGTATTGAAACAATCCTGAACTTTTCTAGCAATGCAGGTAAAATAGGACGGCAACAGCTTGAATAAACTATCAGATGCTCGAATCGGTATCAGCAGATGACATAAACAATTGCACAAAGTTATTCTCAGCATCAGTAAGTAAACATACTTGAACCAACTATTAGATAGTTGGTATTTCTCCGCACACACGCTTTATATAAAAATCAAAGACAATGATGCTTGAAGGGATGGATGAAAATTCATAGCCGAAGATCACAGCTTTTCCAGTAATAGAATTATAAGCATCCAGAGTTTTAGAGATATACAATAGAAAGACAACAAGCTATGCCCATATTAGCTTTGATGCGAAGAAACTCTACCGTATTTACATTCCTACAATGAAAGCAAAACCTAAGCGGATAAAACTTGCTAGATCATGAATTCAAAGCACCGTATTACCCTTTCCACCAAGAAAGGGCCAAACTTTAATCGCAAAACCCGGTATGAATAATATCACCCATTATGTAATTTATATCGGAAATTATCAAAATCCTCATTGTTGACTATCAAATTATGCAAACAATAATACCATTTCATCAAATTTACAAATAGTGATGAGATTATCAATACCTCATCAGCAATCATGGCAACGAGGGCTGTGTTTCTCGTAGGAATTTGAGCTCTTCCACCCATTTTTTTTGTATCAACAATTTGGTTAATTAAATTTAAAACTAAAAAACGATTTTATAGCAATTTATGATAAAAATTACAGCGAAATGTAAAAACTTTCTTTAAAGCAACCTCATCAAACCTGTCAAGCTGAATCTTTTCTGAATCGTTTTTGGTCTCTCAAGCTTCATATTCAGAGGAGCAATATAGAATGTTTAAGACATATATATAGTCTGGGTTTTTAATTTTGGTCCATATGCAATTTACTCTGGCCCAACTTGACTCCTGATCAAGTCCAATTATGATTTTTTTTACTCCTTTCTTTTTTGGTAGTTATTTTGCTTCTCTAACGCTGACGAAGAAAAATTATTGGCATTAAAATAAAATAAAAATTGTTCAAAGAGAAAATTTCCTAGTCTTATTCATATTGACAAATGTGTTATATGATGTAATTTAACAAAAAAATAATCAATGCAGTTCTGAAATATAATAATTAGTATATTTTTGAAACAAGTCCTTTGTTTTTAATGTTAGTTGGATTCTTGGTTTTCACTTTGTAACTTCTTGTTATATTAAAATCTTGTTATCTTATTATATTGATATTCTTTTTAAAAAATTCTTATATATCATGAATTAGCATTTTTTTTAAGATTATCAAAATATCTTTGATTACAAATTTAAAAATATAGGTCGATCTCTCATTATTCTGTTAAATGTACAAAATAAAATATAGTCATTTAAAAAAACTTTACGTGAATAAAGATTTAAATTCGAAACACTTACTGATAAGCCTATATTAAATATTCACAACTTAACGGGAAACATGGTTGTTAAAATATTTTTACAAAACATTAAAAATATTATTTTAAAAAATAAAAATAGAGAGGGAGAGATGTGCTGCAAAACAGTGCAAACAGTCCAATCTGCTGATTTGAAACTATTGTATCAGCAGTTTTTTAATGATTATCAATGAGAAACGACATGCTCATTATAAAAGAATATTACAGAATCAGTTTTTTTTTTTTTTTTTTTTTTACCATTCTAGATTTCAATTGCCAAACGGTGCTACTATTTATACATGTTTTTTTATCATCTGACAAGACACACACTAAGATAAAAAAAACACTGCTTAGATAAGAAAAGTTACATTTTTGCTTTTGTTTTTTCCAGTCTTTCACTGAAAAACTAAATAATTTTTATTTTTTTCTTTCAGTAAAAGTAATACTATTTATTTTTTGAATTTCAAGTTTTATAAATCATACTAATACTATTTGTTTCTTTTTTTCAGCAATGGTTATTTAATTTAATTTTTTTTTATTAGAGATGGAAATTTATTGGAAAAAAAAACTAAGGTACGGATTGGCATCTAAAGAAAAGATGGATGACAATAGAAGCAAATCCTTCATGGCTCTGATTTTTTTTTTTTAAAATATCTTTTTATTATTTATTGTCTTAATATCAACCATACCCTATGCATTATATTTTTATCATCATTACACCTTTTTGTTAGCTTCCATTAGTAATTTCGTTAAAATTGACACATGCCACTCTGCTGCATCACATAATTTTTGTTGATATATATTTTGGTTGCTAAAATTTTTATAAAAAATTATTTTGATCCTTGTATTATATTTTTCTTATAAATAAGTCCTTACTTGAATTTTTTTTTATCGTATTTTTATAGTGAATACAATTTAGTCGCTAAAAAGTTTTTTTTTAAAAAAAGAATATCATTACTTTGATTTTGATTTTTTTCCTCATATTATCATAGATATATTATTTTTGTTTCCTATAATATTATATATGTATTATGATTTTTTTCTTCTCTTTTATTTTTATTTTTATCAATTTTTAAGTTAAATTAGAACAATAAATTTATCTCTCCTATACTATCATATACCTATAATGAATTTTTGTCCTTTTTTTATTTTATCTCGATCTTTAAGTTAAAATCAGAAAAATAATTTTTTTTCAGAAAACGTAAAAAGAAAATTCTCACAATAAATATATAATAATAAATAAAACAAAAATTTTATGTTTCAAATGAATGTAATTATTTAAATCCATTTACCTTAAAACTTGTCCATCAATCCATTTATATTGTTTTACTAATTTTGACTAAGTTCACGATTTCATATATATAGAGATTTAATTGGAAAATATTTCAATTCAAGAATTAAATCATATTTACTTAAAATATAATGATTTAAAAAATTCAATTAAAGACTTATTTGTAAACAAACAATATCGAGACCAAGTTAATTTTATGAAAAATCTCATGGACGAAAACAGACATCATCGAAAATTTCATGTTCTTAGCGCATGACAAGTGTCAATATTTAACTACATTACTAACACTAAGCAACAGATAAAGAAAATATAACCTATAGATTGATATTAAAATAAAAAAGTAATTAAAAAATCTTTTGAACACAAAATAAAATAAAAAAAATAAAAAGAGTAAAGGGATGTACGAAATCATTAACCACAACATAGAGGGATCCATCAAATAGGTTCTGTTTGGCCACCATATGGGCCGCCTGCTTAACAGTACGATTAGCATGAACAAGAATTGAAAGCATGCCGGTTTTGAGCCATCGGACAACGGGTTCAAGGACACTCCTTCCTGCTAGCAGCGTCAATTATGGTCTTGAATCGCTCTCACAATAAACATTATTTGTGATAGGGTCATACCTTCAAGAAGAGCTAATTGATGGTTTGAGAAAGACAAGATAGGGTGAGAGACGCCAGGAAAATGCTTTGCATGGATGCCGTGACTAGTAAGCTTTGGTGCTAGGAGTGTTCGTTCGGTAATTCGATTCGGTTTCGAATTTTTTTTATCGATTTTTTGTTAATCGAATTGTCTAAAAAAATAACCGAACCGAATTTTTATTTGGTTTTTAAATATATCAATTTTTTTATTCGATAATTCGGTTTTCACTTGTAATTATCTACACTTTTAATTTTTGAAAGTATCATGCACTTTCGAAAAAATAAATTTAGTATTTGTATTGCGATTTTATGCTATATTCCTATATGTGTTTACTAAAAAGAGACATACTAATTATTATCGGGATCCATAAATTAACTAGCTTTCTTTCACATAGAAAAAAAAATACCATCTCACATCTTTTTTTTAAACTATAAATTGAATCAAGAAAGAAATTATGTATCTCATTGAGCAATTATAAACAAGAATTGGTTATGGTCATTTGACGTTGGACCGGTTGATTCATGTAATCAATGCAACAAGAATTGGTTATGGGCTAATTGATTTAACTTCAATTAGCTTAGGTTTGCGTGAGGGTGAGGTGAGGGTATGAGGATTGGAATGAACGACGTCGTTCATCGATGAATTTTTTAAAAAAAATTTAATAATTTCGGTTATTCGGTTTTAATCGAATTGAAAAAAAAAATCGAAACCGTAATCGAAAACCGGCTATATTTCGATGCGATTCGATTCAGTTATTCGGTTTTTACCGAATAATGAACACCCCTATTTGGTGCTCTCTGGCTACAAAACCAATACTGCCAACTTTGTTATGCAGATCAAGGACACCATCAAAGTTAAAAACTTAAGGATCCTTGCTTAGTGGTGGTTCCCAAGTAGTTGACGATAGAGCAGTCCAATTACATTTATGAGCCCATGGACAAAATAGACAGCCACTCGTTATATTAGTTCGAGCATGGCCCATTCCAAGGGAGTAGATTTATTTTATTTTTTGGGATGATTACCAAGGAGGTGAATCGTTGAGCATGCCGCACCACTAGCTTTTGGATTCACTTCCTCTTTTCGGGTTAATAATTGTAGAGATTTTTTTATTCTTTTTTTTTTTACTTAAATTTAACCTTTTTTTTTTTTTTTTTGTGTTTAGTTTTTGTCTGAACTGTGTTTTTCCATCAATTTTTTGGGTTAACGACGTTAAATTAAACTTTTAGCATCATAGGATTACGACAAATGTAAATCTTGTTTGTTTGCTTTTTTTTTAATCTAGTCACTCTACCTTTTTTTACCGTATTTAAATAAATAAATAAAAATAATAAAAAAACGAAGATGAAAATATTTTTTCTATGGGTTTAACTTTATGTATATAGTAGTGAGTAAATTTTAAGTATAAAATGAAATATTTATAATATTTTTTTTTAATATAAAGAGAGTTGTAGCTAAAGTATTAAACTTTTGAATGATGCTTATAATTTTATAATATCTCAAAAGAGTATTATTATTTACTTATTTTTATTTATAGATTTTTTAATTTGACTCAAAACTGAGAATATAAATTTTGTTGAGATTTTTTTGAAAATATTCACTCAAAAGTAA